TCATATGTCTCTAAATATATATATATATATATATATATATATATACATTATATTATTACTATTATTATTATTTTTAGCCACCATCAATATGCCTGTAAAAATACATAATAATAATAATGTCAACATCCCTGTATACAAACAAACACAATGTAAATATCTTATCAGAACACAATATGCACAGGGCGCACACATAAATCAGATCATGAACACATAACACTGTGTCCTAACTACACACGACTCAACGACACAATGCGATAAAGGGTATCTTTTCCACGTTAATCTGAGTTTTTGTTCTAACCAGCCTTAACGGCGACACTTGAAGTTTCTATTTTAAAAATTGTTTCTATTCCTGCGACGTTGTGGCTGGAACAACAGCATACAAACTATGACAATGATAATCTCAGGTACTGATTATGTGCTTTTTTAAAATATTAAAAGTGTCTAATGTGAGTTTGAATATCATATTGTGTGACATTTATAGCCATACTGAAAGCAACAACAGAGTACCTCAGATCTTGAAAATAAATGAAAGCAAACATGCACATTAAAACTGTGAACTTAATGCGAACCAACAAGTGTATTCCATAACAAAGATGGTATCAATCACTCAGTATGTACTTTTAATAATGGTAAAACAATGGTAAAATAATGGTGATATTTATGAATTAGATTATAAACTTAGCCATTTTGTTGGGAGTGCAGTGCGCTTCTGCGCTTCTGAATGGCTGTGATATTTGAGTGATTCTGTCACGTCACGTCTGGTGTGGACAGCCAAATTGCTTCTCGCTGGAATATTGTCGGGTCACGTCTGGCTAGGACATGGTGTGAAACACATTCTCTATTATGGGGTTGCACAATTTTCCTCCTAAATGGTTTAAAGAGAAGCACTGGTTGGGCTTGACATAAAAAGTATTCCCTTTTGAGCAAAGAGATAAAACGGGAAGACAGCAAAAAAATGAATAACAGGATTGAAGGAGAGAGGAGGAAAAACATAGCACCTTTTCATGGAGTTGGGGGCACTTGAAATGCACACAAGGGCTGTTCACAGGCAGCATGATCAGTATTCCAAGGCAAGAGTCAGCGTGTAATATTCACTCGCCAAGGCAGTTGTTTATTGCGCTTTCTCATTTGCAATACTGTGCGTGTCAATTGATGTGCTACGATGCTTTGGATTACTTTCTTTCCCTTCTCTCCTTTAACCATGCAATTCATCTCTCTCTGTCTCTCTCTCTGGTATCTCTGAAGAGAGACTCAGTATCCACTAATGAGTTCAGCTCTTGGACCTGTCTGGTCATTCTGTATGACACCTCATGGACTGTCACATCATGGAGATGAAGCGTGGCGTTGAGTGTATCGGTGGGAGGAAGTGGGCTCTATGAGTCAGGAAACTGTGGCTCATGTCTCTATATTCACCTGTGAATAAACTTGCTAAAGTCAATTATGTCCCTATTTAAATAGCACCTATTTACTTTTTTAATGTATGTTTCTGGTCTTAATGTGCATGAATCACTGGTATTTATTATTCTAAAAAAAGTAATGTAATCTTTCATTAAAATGTAATAACTGAAACAACTTTTCAATCCCTCCCTCCAACCATCTGGCTCCATTCTAATATGTTACACAATTTTTCTTCCTAAATATCCTAAGATACACCGATTCCAGGTGTAAAATGGTCTGTGAACTGTGTATCACAATATGGTCGAGATTTCTGGTATATATGTATGTATGTATGTTGGTATGTAAGTATGTACTGCATGCATTTAATTATTTTGCATTATAGTGGTTTTAAATAAAGGGTACCATGTTAATTCAGTTTTTATTAAACAGTTTATTAAAAAAGCAAAAAAAAAAAAAAAAAAGGCAAAAAAAAAAATATATATATATACTAATGATTTATTTTTGCGGGAAAAAAGAAATATTAGAAATGCAAAAATGGTTTCTAACTTATGGACCCACATTATATTGTATACTAATAATTTGGAATTGACAAAATTATTAGATTTTATTAAAAATGTAAAAATCGTTTCAAACTTTTGGACCCCACATTATATTACATACTAATAATTTTAATTAGATGAAATGATTAAATTTGATAAAAATGCAAAACTGGTTTCTAACTTTTGGACCACACATTATATTATATACTAATAATTTCAAATAGCTAAATAAAAAATAAAAAAAAAATAATAATAATAATAATAATAATTAGTATTAGTTTCATTATTATTTAAAAATCAAAAATAGATTATATTATATTCTAGTAATTAAACATTGCTTAAATTATCACATTTTATAAAGAAAAGAAAAGAAAAGAAAAGATTCAAACTTTTGGACCCATTGTATATTATATTATATTATATTATATTATATTATATTATATTATATTATATTATATTATATTATATTGTTTTTGTATGTTTTTGATTACATGTCATGGTAATACCATGTTTTTTGAAAATATGTTCACTTTTTCTTTATCTTATGGATAATCATTAATCATTAAATATAATCACATAAGTACCTTACTATCTGGCACCACAGTACCTTTTTTTTTTTAATGGTACAGACAGAGAATCGAGCGAATCTGAGAATGAAAAAAAATAATAATAGAGGAGAATACAGGATGAGATATGAAGAATTCTGAGAGTTTTTCATCTCCACCTCTCACCCTCTCCCACTTTCCTTGACAGAGATTTGACAGTGGAAAAGAGGGATGCGGTAAAGAAGGTGGCAGGAAAAAAATTGGGGAAAATGCTGCAGTCCGCTCTGCTTGCCCGAGCAGGACACTGCACTGCTATTTTGAAGCTTCTGTTGCTATGGGTAACTCTCTAGCTCTCTCTCTCTCTTTCTCTCTCTAACTCTAATTTCTATGGCAACCCACTGTTCCCTTGGCTGGGAGAGCTCATGACTTATTCCTCTGCTGTTTTATTTTTCTCTGCCACTCTTAATGTATACATTATGCTGGCCTATAGAACAGCGAGTCCCCGTCACAAGCTCAGGGACACCCACATGCACAGGCAGACAGGAGAGCGCAGGAATATTTCTGTGCTCTAGTCAGGTATCCTCAGTGATGTCTCTTGAGCTCTGGATGACACACTTAATGCAGCGAAACAAGTGCTTGTTGATTAGTGCGCTGGTTAAGTGAGTTGTGTTCAAGACATTAGTCAAAAGAACATTGGACTGAAGCTGAAAACTGCTGCAATATATGAGCACAGAACATTCAGAATTTAAGAATTGGCTCCTTTAAAACTCATGAGTAAGAATTGGAATTTAATTGCAATTCAAATTCAAAGAAATTCCTATGTTTTGGAAATAAAGTGTTATTCCAATAAACATTCTATATGGTGTATAAATCTGTATAGATGTTTTCAAATATTTATTTATTATTACAGTTATCATAATGAATACAGAAATGATAAAACATAAATGCATACAATGTATAAAATATGTTTTGAGAAATATGTGGTCACACTTTATTTTAAGGTCCGATTCTCACTATTAACAAACTATTAACTACCCTTAATAACCTCCTAATTTGCTGCTTATTAATAATTAGTAAGGTAGTTGTTAAGTTTAGGTATTAGGTATGATTAAGGATGTAGAATGTTCATGCAGAATATGTGGTTTATAAGTACTAATAAACAGCCAATATGTTAATAATAGGCATGCTAATAAGCAACTAGTTAATAGTGAGAATTGGTCCCTATACTAAAGTGTTACCAAATATGCCATTGTGTATTTATATATGTATATTTGTGTATGTCAGTGTTATTTTAGTTAGAGCCTTGCATTTCAGCCCGAGCCTGACAGGGCCTGACTTATTTATGCCCCTAGGGGCAGGCTTCGGGCCAATTTTCACGACATCGCTCACATGCGGTCTGGGCATTTTGTCTATTTTAGACAACGTAGGTGGTACGTTAAGGTGATGGAAAAGATGCGATGCGCATAGGGATGTAACGATGCACCGTGAGCCGGTTGAAAATCGATACAATTATGTGATGATTCAAAACGATCATTTGGATCATGATTAAAATACAGTGGTTTCCTCTAACTGAATGGAAAGAGCACAGGCAAAGCCTTAGTTTGTTTATATGGAGAGATCTCTTTTCTGTTATTTATTTGATTTGGGGTTTGTTTTAAAATTGCATATTTCAATTTCACAAAGAAATGTTCAGCATTTTGTCCAAACAATAATAAAAGGACATCTTTTAATCTATAATTTGTCTTAAATCTCATTTTGTTTGAGAAAATTGTGAAATCAGTATCGTGAATCGTATCGCATCGTGAGTTGAATGATTTGTTATATCTCGAGCTGCGCTGGTGGAAACAACACGAGACCATGTTACCGCAACTGTCAAGACTGGTGCGCACAGTTTAGTGTTTAGTCGTTCATTTAAACCTTTAGTCGATTTATTTATTTATTTTTTTTCATTTAAGCCATTATTCGATTTATTTATTTATTTATTTATTTTCATTTAAGCCATTATTCGACTAAATTCATCATATGTGGTCAACTGCTTGTCTGCCGCTATCCACTTGGTTGTCAACAAAAACTCCAAACATTTTTCTAAATTACATTAATGAAGAAACGAAAAGAAATATAACCACTTTGCCATTAAAAACAAAACTGAACTACCCAGTCGGACTCGGGCTGAGAATTCTGATAAGCTGTTGGACAAGGGCCAGGCTAGGGCCTAGATTTGAGGACTATGCAAGGCTTTAATTTTAGTGCTTTACTTTTATATATATATATATATATATAATTTTTTGTTTTTGTTTTTGTTTTTTTATACCAAAAACAATTTAATAGTTTTAGTTAACAATAACAGCACTGGTGTGTACATTGTTGTTTTCATATTAGATATTACTATTATTCAAATTATAATTAGTATAGTAGGAGTAGTAAAACACTTACATCAACACTTACATTTTTTTTCCAGTTTAATCTTTCTTAAATTTAAACTAACACCTTTACTCACCATAATTCTGAACAACTCTGCACAACTCTGAAGCGTGTACAAACACCCACCCACCCATCACAGACTGCCCCCATAGCAACACATTAAAAACACTCACAGCAACTGAATAGCAACATATTGGAAAACACTGTAGCGCCAGCTTCTGCCTGGGCAAGCAGCACTCATGTTTTCTTCAGAAAATATAAAAATCTACTTCCAGATTCAGTGTTTCCTTAACCTTAACAAAAATGTTGCATAGACACACATACACAGATGCTGGATGCTGTCCCATTTTATCATTAACAAATAGTGGCTTGTTTTGGGTGCGCTCCCCAGGAAGTGGCAGTTGTATGAATAAAATTATAGGCATCTGTGCTAACACATTAGGATCTCGCTAATGGCTCCTTGGGTGCGCTCGGCTCATATTTAGAGAGGCTATCCAAATTCTATTTAGGTCTCATTGTAATCTCAAGGAGTCCATTTGAATTAATCCAGTCCAAAACTGTCCAAAAACATTCCTGCAATTCCAATGTATGACCATACAAGTGTGTGTGTGTGTGTGTGTGTGTGTGTGTCTCTATTACTATAACTCAGATTCGAATGCACAAGCTGTAATCGCTGAACACACACTACACGTGATGACAGAACCATTTGACTCACTCTCATAGTCTCTTCTACTCAGGTTGTTTCAGGTGTCTCTGCATCTATGGCTGGCCCTGTGTCTGCTCCATGTAACCCATTCAACAATTTGATGGCATTAAATATAGAAAGACAACCATTTTGACTTTGGTTAAAACAGTTACTCACAGCTGAAAACATGATGGGCTTTTAAGTCCAAAAACAAAAACTGCCTGAGGTGAACGTCAAGGTACATACTCATACCCCTTGAATATCTGGAAGTTCAGACAGACGGAAGCTCATTCTAAGGGTTTTTTTCTCTCTCTCTCACTTCTTTCTGAAAAGGTACAACTTCAAGTAAGCTTTTGTGCCAAGAAGTAATGAAGAGAGGACATGAGTCTATACTGAAAATATACACTTTTAAAATATTATATATATATATATATATATATATATATATAAATGTATGAAACATGAAAGTGTGTTGCAGTGTTATTTTTGTGTTATTTATATACTATTATAATATTTACTACTATTTTGAATTATATTTTTTTGTTTTCATTTTAATTTTAGTTGAACTTTTAGTAAAATTGTTATGTGCTTTGGTCATTTTTATTGATATTGTTTATATATATTTTTATATATATGTAATTTCAGTTTTCAGCAAAAACTGGACTACAAACTAACATAAATTAAGTTTATGTTTTCATTTAATATTCATATTTTTTTCTTAATTTCAGCTTGAAATCAGTTAATGAAAACAGTTTTTAATAGTTTTAGTTAACAATAACAGCACTGCTGCATTGACCTCTTTCAATCTGAAATTCACCACATCAGATATGGGTTGTGAATGTCATGACTTCATGAGTAGAATGCTTCCATCCACTCAGTGTGATGCTAAATTTTACTCACTGAAGGGCTGTTCACACTGACAGCAGTTTGCTGTTATAAAACAACCGGAAGTCATTCATTTGGAGATGCGACTAAGTTGAGCAGAATCTAACTTTATGCAAATGAGCCGCAATGTAATGCAGCGAATACCAAAGGGAGTGAAGACGGTGAAGCTCGTATGATCCTTCACCTGTCAGATACTATTGTCTAATGTAGACAAGATGGAGCAGAAGTTAATAGTAACTGTGAGCAATTTCCCTGTTCTATACGATTTGTCTCTGCCCGCATACGGAGACATAATAAAATAAAATGATGCAGGGAAAATCATCGTCAGAAATCACAGGCATACCAAGAGAGTTACATTCATGCATTAATAATTGCTAATTTTGTTCATGATATGATGCATTACACACTACTGCAATTTATATACTAAAGCTTTCCCTCCAGAATCTCAAAAACTTAGCTATACATACAATTCACTGCAGTTTCCAGCTGAAATGAAACACTAGTGGCAGTAAAACACCAACAACGTTTATTCATTTTCACACAAATGATGATCACAAAGGCAAATTATTAATTAATAAAGACTCAAAACACTTGATTTGCAAGCCTTGTAAACTAATACATTTTCCAATTTGCATCACATAACCAGATCCATATGTATAGCTTTTCTGACATAGTAAACTTGCACGGTAGCTCACCCGGTGCACTGCACTTGCGATGCGGAGTACTCGGGTACGAGTCCAGTAAAACGCTAAAAAAGAGCTCAAAGACTTGTAGAAGTAAACTAAAATGACATGGCTGACATGGTTTATCTTATGTTTGCTTTTGTTAGCACTATCAGTTAGGTTTAGGGTAGGGTATAGTGTAGGTGGTATGTTATTTTCAAACGCAGTAGAGCATTATCCTTTTAGCGCCAATTATCAGACATTTCATTTCCAAACTGCCAGATTCACGTTCATCTGTTTTGAATAGAAATGCACACGCTTTAAGCACTGGACATTTTACTGTAAAATGTGCAAGAAGCAACGTAATTAGCATTTTGCAGAAATGTCACCACAGGCATGTATTTCCAGTGGTTCTGGATTGCACAATACAGAAACTTGTCAAACTATATTTGAGTTAAGACCCCAATTGAATTATGGGCTATGTGGTGTGAAACGATGGCAGGTGGTGAATGCATAATTTTTCCCAGCAATGTCAGCTAAAGTTAAAAAAGTATAGCTTTGAGTGACAACCTGAGTAGAAACATGAGTTTGTCAACCCTGTACATACCTCCTTCCTTCAACGCACATGCTGTGTTTAATCAACAATCTTTTATTAGCTGTATCACATCTGTCTTTTCCCCTCATGCCATTCCAGAAGGAGCAGAGAAGGAAAAGTGTGATTACTTCACAAATCTCTAAGCAGGCGATTCAATTATTTGACTTCACTAAGCATGGCTTGTTCGGAGCAATCAAGATTAGGTTAATGTCCCGTCACCCTCACAGGCACAAAAGCAGCTAAGCCTATTCTTTTTCACCTTACTTTTCCATTGTAATGTAGAAAATGACACATAATATAATCACATCATGTGCAGTGAAATATAATAGAATTCCTGAAGTAATCAGCAGATACATGAAGGACATATTGCCTAGATAATGTGTCTTATAGAATTGTAGAAGGCCGAAAATTGTGTGTGCATCCCGGTTTTATATCAGAAACCTGATTAGTATGCGTGTACAAATATGAAATGGAAACGGTGTTCTTAGCTTGCATAGTCACAACTGGATAACTAAGCTCACGGTGGCTGAGCCGCAAAAACAAAACAGACAGTGTTGAGATTATTTGGATGTTAAGGGTACAGTGTTATGCATCGTTTGTTATATCTTGTTAAATAGCTACCTAACAAGGCAAATAAAGTGCTCGGCTGATTATGTTGCCAAAAAAACTGTGTACCTACACTGGTTTTTCTATTGAAGCGTGTTTGTGTTTAAAACATGTTGACACTTAAGTTCCCCTCAGGACTTGGAAAATAGAGCATCTCCTGTACACAGAATGGAGGCTGATAGAATAAAGTGATGCTCTAGGGCAGGGGACTCAAAGTGGGGTCCGTGACTCATAGCCAGGGGGTCCACGAAATAATTTTAGGTCTGTATGATTTCCGCGATGTGGAAAATGCAGAGGGAAATCGCGGAATCCAGTCATTAAAATGGAATTTACAGTATAACGCAGAATGTCACAGAATTTGGCAAATCTTGAATGAATAAATCAAAAGTAGCGCTCTACACTTAATGAAAGCGCTATATGCTTTGTACAATTGTACAATGGTACAAAATGCTGCAGCCAGGCTTCTGACTGACAGTCAAAAATTTGATCATATCTCTCCCATCTTAACTTCTCTGCATTGGCTACCAGTCAAACTGAGAATAGATTTTAAAATTCTAGTTTTTGTTTTTAAAGCATTACATGGCCTAGCACCAGCGTATCTTTCTGACATTTTACATTATCACAATCCTTCTAGGTCACTTAGATCAGGCAGCCTTGGATTGCTCTCTGTGTGTAGATCGAGGTTAAAACATCGTGGAGACCGAGCTTTTGCGACAGTAGGCCCCAAACTCTGGAACAGCCTACCGGTTTCGATCCGAATGGTGTCATCACTTTCCTCTTTCAAATACTTACTTAAAACACATTTGCTTAGTGTGGATTTCTAATTGATTATTTTTTTTTTTTTTATTTTTTTTTTTAGATAACTTCTATTATCTGTACAGCACTTTGGTCAACCCTGGGTTGTTTTTAAATGTGCTTTATAAATAAATAAATAATGAATGAATGAATATGGACTACTGTCTGTATATATTAAAGTGCATATGAAGTCTGCATGTTCTGTGCGTCTCTGAGTGAATGAATGTCACGGTTTCATCTTCTACATACATACTGAAGCACGCGTGGCGCTCATGGTGTTTCCCGCTTCTGTCGTCTCACTATATGAAGATATAAA